GATATTTTACATTAAGACATATGTCTTCTTAATATCTGATCTGGGATAGGGGAATATTGAATATAATTACGCTGAAACAGCCTCGTGTGAACTGAGCTGCATGTGGAGGGTTAATAAGACACCGGAAATGACGTCATCGGTTCTATAGTAGTCACTATAGATGCAATTTCAGTATGTTACGTCAAAATAAAAATAGCTTGGAATAGACTACATATATGTGTTTAACAGCATTATCCGGGTCAGATAAGATACTATTTTATCTATTCTATGCCGTATTTAGTCAATGAGACGTTAGGTTAAATACATGTCGGAATCATGTTGACGCCGGTTCATATGTTCTTTACAACTACGAAAACCAGGTTTCCATCCATTCGACGCCAGGATATCAAGTATGTCCGTTTCCTGCAACTATTCTGTTTGAATAACAGTTATCTGAGGTTCGATAAGGTTATTTGATACTTAGTCAATAGTTAATAGTTTCGAAATCGAAACAGCAACTTGCCTATTCCTGAAGTTTAGGAACCGTTCATAATTTATCGCAATGTGGGGTGATCATTTTTTACAAAATCTCTCTCTCTCGTCGATCTCTCTCTCTCTCCCTCTCTCGTCGATCTCTCTCTCTCCGTCTCTCTCTCTCCCTCTCCCTCCCTCTCTCTCCTTCTCTCTCTCTCCCTCTCTCCCTCCCTCTCTCTCTCTCCCTCTCTCTCTCTCTCTCACACACACACACACACACACACCGGGGAAATACGGTACAAAGGGTTTGCGCTGTGATAGCTGCAAAAAGGCGGTAACTTTATACATTTATATTTTTATCCTCGTCTACAATTTCTTTTGTGTTTTTTCCTACATTACATAAAAATGTTCGGTTTGGAATTTGAAGTCGGCCATAAAGGACGGTCTTCAACATTACTTTAAAGTTTAAAGAGCGGAACTAGAAAGCTATTGTTGTGACCTAATTCAATTGTGTAGAATATACAGTGATCGGTTTACATCAGTATTGTTTGTTTGTTGTTTATTTAATGCCGGACTCAGCAATATTCCAGCGACAGTCTGAAACTGATCGAGTCTGGACCAGACAATCCTGTGATCAACATGATGAACATCGATCTACGCAGTTGTGGGACGGTGACATGAGCCAACCAAGTGAGCGAGCCGGATCATTGAGCATGGGTTGCTGGAGACCATTTCTAACCCGGATCTCCACGAGCTAACATCCGTATAATTTACTAGGGCTCTGCATTGGCAAATAAATTGTATTCCAATATAATGCGATTCAAGTACACGAATGCGATATATTGCAAGCTGGGGTGTTTGTCAATGAATGATCCTGTTTTCTACATATTAAGACACTAAAAATATATGTTAAGTTTCGAACAACTTCAAACATAGGTTGGATAGTTAGGGATTTGTTTTCTCATAGTATGCACAGGATTACATTTTGTCAATGAATACGAAAGAAAACATCAGTTGTGAAAGAAACTGTGTGTGGATCTTAACTAGTGAGTGGGTGAGTATAGTTACACGTTGTTTTTAGCAATACTCCAGCAATATCACGGCGGGGGACACCAGAAATGGGCTTCACACATTGTACCCATGTGGGAATTTGAAACAGGGTCTTCTGCATGACGAGCGAACGCTTTAACCACTAGGCTACTCCAGGGCCCCTAAGATCTTAACTAGCGAGAGAGTTTAGTTTTACGCTGCACCCAGCAATATTCCAGCTATATGGAAATAATCCAGTCTAGACCAGACAATCCAATGATCAACAGCATGAGCATCTATCTACGCAATTGGGAACCGATGACATGTGTCAACCAAGTCAGCTCAGCCTGACCACCGGATCTCTCTTACGACAAGCATGGGTTACTGAATATCAATTCTAACCCGGATCTTCACGGGTGAGATCTTAACTAAAACCATATAAATAAAGATAATAACAAAACTTCTGATATTCTTTTACCTATTAAACCGGTTCCCCAAAATAAATTGCTATAGGTATTGTTTTAAAATGATAATACCGGCAATACCCCGCAGTCCTATACATAACATACATTCGTTATTCTCCACACATAAAACTGACGTGCTCTTTTCCATTTACGTGATATAAAAGATCAAGGCTAACGTTACCTTTTTGGTTGGGTTTCATCAAATATTGTCTTCAAATGTCCAGGACGGATAGGTCTCTGGTTAGGCGTCGTCCTTTTAACACATGCAGGTTCCGACTATACGCGTTGTGTTTCAAACACGTGGTTTGTCCGCGATATTTGTACTTCCTGGTGTAGGAAGTTCGGGGAAAACAGACAGGGGTTGATTAACCCTTTCAGTGCCAAAGACGTGGACATGGCGGTAGACATCCTCTTTCATTTCAGATTTTTCCAGTTCAGTTTTACATTAAACTTCAAGAAAGTGGGGCGATGGGGTAGCCTAGTGCATGGTTAAAGCGTTCGCTCGTCACGCCGAAGACCCGGGTTCGATTCCCCAAATGGGTACAATCAGTAACACCCATTCCTGGTGTCCCCCATCGTGATATTGCTGGAATATTGCTATAAAGCGGCTTAAAACTAAACGCACTCACTCGCATTGTACCGATTTTCCAGTAAATCTCTGCGGCTTGGTATCTCAGTGGGCTAGCACTATAAAACCAGCTTCAGCCTGGGCTAGTACAAGCAGCCGCACCTACACATACACACGCATGCACGTCGTCATATGAGCGAAATATTCTCGAGCGCGACGTTAAAACCCAATTTCACCTCACCTCACCTTCCAGTAATTCTTACTTGTTTTTTTGTTGTTGTAGGTATTCGATGTACGTAGAGAACCCTTTTACCGCTGGTGTATCACAGTGCTTGGAGACGGGAGATTCCGATTCATGTAACGCGTAGAAACTCAATTAATAAGGTTTAAATAACCTCCATAAACCCAACATCTAGCTTGTAATACAGGAAGTAAACGCGTCGATGGTTAAGTGACGCTAGTTGTATGAGCGTGTCGCCTTTCGCTGGACCTCGTGCAAGTATTTCCTGCATTACCGAAGATTATGGAGTGAGTGAGTTGGCTTCTACGTCGCTTGAACAGTCGAATGACAGTTTGCGAGTTTAATGCGGGAGGAGAGCAAATAGTACAGATGTGGATCTTACGACTGGTTTGTTGTAACTTTATACTGGTGTGTGAGAGAGAGAGAGAGAGAGAGAGAGAGAGAGAGAGAGAGAGAGAGAGAGAGAGAGAGAGAGAGAGAGAGAGAGAGAGAGAGAGAGAGAGAGAGAGAGAGAGAGAGAGAGAGAGAGAGAGAGAGAGAGAGAGAGAGAGAGAGAGAGAGAGAGAGAGAGAGAGAGAGAGAGAGAGAGAGAGAGAGAGAGAGAGAGAGAGAGAGAGAGAAAAACAGAGAGAAAATCAGAAAGATTCAGAGCGAAAGTGAGAGACAGACAGACAGAGAGAGAAGCACACACACATTGACTCGGACACAACCCGAGAGTACGATAAACACACACAGAGAGTCAGACCGAGAAAGCGATAGACACGGAAATAGACGGAGGATGGCGCCTTTAATTTGACAATATTACATTAAAACACACAACGCATATTTCATTAAACGTGTTAACTTGGTAACATATTTCAACATGACTCTTCAGCTTAAACTCGAATCTGTGAGTTTGGCCAACGCCCGATTTGAAATGTCGTCTAGTTATACAATTGCGCGTTTGCTCAATGTGGAAGGACGGCTGTGGTATTGATAAACCCAGTAGGGCGGTGGTGGGGTAGCCCAGTGGTTAAAGCGTTAGCACGTCACGCCGCAGAACCAGTTCGATTCTCCAGAGGGAATAATCTGTAAACCCCATTGCTGGGTATCATCTAAAGGTTTTCTTCTTTATCCATTGAAATTAATAACTAAAAGGAGGTTGTCGAACAAAAATATCGGACACAAAATATTTACGTAAATTACTACTCCAGTAGTGATAATTGCAATAATTGCTGCCTCGCCACTTTGATTAAGGTTGAGAGGACATTGAGTTATCCAAATAGTGTGCGTGGTGCATTCTTGTGTGTTCTCTCTCGAACTTTGTTTAACGGAGTTATCTCTCTTAGATCTTGCAACCGCTTTGTTCAGCTTAACTCTCTCACTACCGCTTGAAGCTTTGTTCACTACCAAACTCTTTAGCTCTCACTACCTCCTTGTTTAGCTCTCACTACCACCTTGTTTATCTCTCTTAGCTCTCATTACCTCCTTGTTTAGCTCTCTTAGTTCTCACTACCTCCTTGTTTAGCTCTCTTAGTTCTCACTACTTGTTTAGCTATCTAAATCTTACTACCTCCTTGTTTAGCTCCCTTTGTTCTCACTACCTCCTTGTTTAGCTCTCTTAGTTCTCACTACCTCCTTGTTTAGCTATCTTAAATCTTACTACCTCCTTGTTTAGCTCCCTTAGTTCTCACTACCTCCTTGTTTAGCTCTTAGTTCTCACTACCTCCTTGTTTAGCTATCTTAAATCTTACTACCTCCTTGTTTAGCTCTCTTAGTTCTCACTACCTCCTTGTTTAGCTCTCTTAGTTCTCACTACCTCCTTGTTTAGCTCTCTTGGTTCTCACAACCTCCTTGTTTAGCTCTCTTAGTTCTCACTACTTGTTTAGCTATCTTAAATCTTACTGCCTCCAGTGTTCAACAGCATATAATATGACATGTGTCAAACAAGACAGCAAGCCTGATATTCATGGGTACAACCCGAACGGAAACATGTTAAGCATTGAATTCCCTTAATCAGAGCAAAATGCAAGGATGTAGAGCTGCAGCAGCCTGAATCCATCTCCAGACATGACTGTTTTGTTGAACATGGTGACCAGTGGCATAGTTGTACAAGGTGCAGCAAATAGCTGACCAGAGTTGCCTCCCTTTGGAACACAAGACACCTATGGCTGCCTGTGAAACATTGATCAACTCTTCATGCGAGTTACAAAATCAAAAATCATTGCAACTTTGAAGCTTAACAATATGATAACAAAGCACCACATTGCACTTTAGATTTTATTCACTAGTATGTGAACAGGAAGTATTTGACACGTATTTCATACATATACTCTGGCTGTCAAACACATAATACCCTATGTACAATGGAGTGGACCCAAGTGATTCGAACATACAGCATATACAGTGATGACCAAAGTCAGTTTAATGGCAGCTAACTTCTTCAGTTATCTCCACCATGAAAGAAAGATCAACATTTCACTTGTTTAACTGTGAGCAAACATCACTTCTTTCACAGTGAAATATACAAGATATGATCAATGTGGACAAATCTGATACTTGCAAGTGTGGATATTGTCAAAACTCCTATATAATCTACATGAGATATACCACGGATGAATCTTGGCTAAAAATTGAAGAAAATATCTGATTTGAAAAAAATGAACTGGACATTTTGACATATCCTTACTAATACATGTACTTGGACTTGGACAATTCAAGGTTTTATTAAACCAGACAATGCCCATGCATGGTATATATCCTATAATGCTTGAATACTTGAATTATCTTTCAGCTGATCATGAGCAACAAACCTACCTTGCTTATCAAACCACATCATAAGGCAACAATATTATCAATACAACTCTCCACCCAGTAGTAAATGGGTACCCGGCAGGACAAGATGGAAACAGGAATGCAAACCTCCTAGCCAATCATGCAGCTTTGGGAATAATCGACACACTGTTCTGTGTGTGTAGTCTTAGTTATGAGACGGCAGTTATCACATTTATCACACACTGTGAAAATATATATTTAGAATTAATGTTCTTCGACACCTATGTCATATCCAGAGCACTTATCACGACATGTACTTCGGATAACAAGCGATAGTTCATAAATAGCAATATTTCCCAACGAGTGAACTGTGTAATGTACAAGTATGTCAGCGTCTATATACATCTCACAATGATGATGATGGCATCAGATACTGCCCACGGAATCAGTCGTCTTCAAGATCGAGATCTTCATCTAGATTCACATCCTGGAACAAAGGAAACAAACAGTAAGTGAGTTTTGTTTTATGCCACTTTAGCAATATTGTAAGAATATCAGGGTGGATGTTTAATTGGCATTTAAGAAGATGCCATTTGACTGACTGACTGACTGAGTTTGGTTTTACGCCGCTTTTAGCAATATTCCAGCAACATCACGGTGGGGGACACCAGAAATGGGCTTCACACATTGTACCCATGTGGGGAATCGAACCCGGGTCTTCGGCGTGACGAGCCAATGCTTTAACCACTAGGCTACCCCACCGCCCCAGATGCCATTTGATGAACATAGAGATGAACATAGAGGAAAGTCTCTATGTTCATCAATATCACGGTGGGTACACAAGAAATGGGCTTCACACATTGTACCCATGTAGGGAATCAAACCGGGTCTTCGCCGTTACCAGCCAACACTTTAACCACTAGGCTATCCCACTGCCCGAAACAAACATAAGTGAACCCATTTAGCTGTAAGTGAAATGTGATGGATGGTCGCCACAACTGTTGACCGGATACTTCTATCTGTGTGCAGGATACTTATCATAGATGTTTATAACTTTCATGAAACAAGGATAAAAATGAGTTTGACTGGAACACAATCATAGCAGATCCTGGACAACAAAGGGATACAATGAATGAATGAGTTTGGTTTTACGCCGTTTTAAGCAATATTCCAGCAATATCACGTGGGGGGACCACCAGAAATGGGCTTCACACATTGTACCATGTAGGGAATCGAAACCCTAGTCTTTGGCATTACGAGCGAACACTTTAACCACTAGGCTACCCCATCACCCTACAATGGGATACAACTGTACACAATCGCTAAATCCTTAGTCGTTCATGCAATCAAACATTGTATTTGTTTTAATGAAAAAAAATAATCAAGGGTAAAGTCATCATGCTCAATTACTAAAGTAACTATGACTATTTGTCTGGGTCCCATTCCACAAAGTGACCTGGGCCCGGTTGTTCAATACTCGGTTATCTTAACCGCCGGTTAACTCCTAACGGCCGGTTAAATCCTTAACCGGCCGTTAGGTAACCGAACGTTAAATATGCGTTGTTCAAAACATGGTTAGTCATGCCGTTAGCTAACGTCGCCGTCAAAGTTTAATAGTGTGGTTAACGTCACTGGTTAGCTTTCATATATCCCACAATTCCGTTTTCTGTTTACTTCCGGATTACCAAAAATGGAATCGCGAAATGTCGCCTGCACCCCAAGGAAAAAGAGAAGTCGAAATTTCTCTGCTGACGATGAGAATGTAATCCAGTCAATGCTTGAGACCAACTCTATAGTTTATCATAGGCATGCGAATGTCATAGCGCTACGAACGCTTGTATTGGAACACAAGGTTCCAGACGTTTGCATATATATTTCAAAGACATATGATCCCAGCTCTGTGTGGGACTTACTTCAATTCCGACAACAGAAAAGACATTTTAATGAGAAACTATAGCACAGCTATAGATAAAATGTTATGAATCCATGAAAATACATGTAATATTAATAGTAGAAGCATGTTTTCAGTGGATAGAATATTTACAAATATTACACACAGGAGTTACGCTTAGACGGCTACAGTCTTCATGAATCTTTGAATTCCCACAAGACCTATCGCTCACTTTTCACTCCTTAAATTGTCATGACTCTATGGCCGAGTCGTGAAGATGCTATCAATATCATTTATTAATTATTTGCCAAGTCTGTCAAAAATTGTAATGTATGAACACACATTGCCAAATCTTTTAACATCAAACAATAGAGATGTTGTGCCAATAATACCATTGGCTTTTATCTGAAATATGCATTCAATGCCAATAGAAACTTAATATGTTACTAGCACCACGTGCAAGTAATCAAACTGTCATTGTACTATAGGCCCCATGGCCAACACTGCTGAATAATATCGATCTATTATTCGACTATACTGTTGACAGGAATCTCATGAATAAAACTGTGCAATATCGTCATTATCTGAACGCCTTCACAGACGCATATTCTGGAAAGATGTCTTGAAAAAGATGAAACTGCGTCTAATTTATAGATGAACATAATTTCCTCGATACTCATTAATCAGATGAACCTTCAATTAGTTCAATTCACAAGTGACTGCAGAAAATGCATAATTCTTTTTAATGACTTCAAGGTCGGAAAACATGTATCATATTTCATAAGAGAACGCTGTAGTAGATGAACATAAATTCCTCGATAATCATTGATCAGATGAACCTCCATTTAGTTCAATTCAATTCCTTATATAAAATACATCCGTGTATAACATTAGCATTCAGATATTGTTATAAAATAAGTTTAAAATTCCAAACATTATCGTGTAAAATGACAAGAGATAGTGTTGTGTACGCTGTGACAAAAATGTTTCGATATTCAAATATAACATTTAATCAAAGTGACTACGAAGTAGGCCTGCATATCACTCACAACTCACAACGTTTCGCGAAGGCCGGTATTGAGACGCCAATTACACATATTTCATATTCAGTGGCGACAAATGCATCACTGAATTCTAAGGCTGGGACGGGTACTACGGTACTCGAATCTGGGTCGGGTACAGCTGGAATCGAGTCCTATTTCTAGGAATCGGGTACCCGAGGAGGAGGAGAGCTCTGTAATGACAAGGGCAGACAATAGCTTGTCTTTTTCGTTTTGACGTAACACACATTTACATCATTGAGTGAGTGAGTGAGTGAGTTTAGTTTTACGCCGCACTCAGCAATATTCCAGCTATATGGCAGCGGTCTGTAAATAATCGAGTCTGGACGAGACAACCCAGTGATCAACAACATGAGCATCGATGTGTGCAATTAATGGGGATACGATGACGTGGCAACCAAGTCAGCGAGTCTGACCACCCGATCCCGTTAGTCGCCTCTTACGACAAGCATGGGTTACTGAAGATCAATATTCTAACCCGGAAATTCACGGGTTTTTACATCATTGGTATTGTCCGATTAATAGAGCATAGTTTTAATGACTGTAATTTATCTGTGCATGTGCAGTGAGTAGTTAAGTTACAGTAGCAGCAGGAACGAAACGTTCGTTGTTATAACGAGGAGTGTAAGTAATGGTGTTACTCTCTATATTGGTTAAACAGACGTAAATTCAATAGCTTGAGGTCTTATCACCACTTTTTCAAGTTTTCTATAATAGTCTCTGTCAAATCGTGATTGAATATTCAGAGGTTGACCCGAATGTATTTCTTACATTTCCGGGTACTCGATTCTGATTCGGGTAAGTACATGCGGGTACTCGATTCCATTTTTTCCTACTTGTCCCAGCCCTACTGAATTCCTCATACATTTTAGAATCTAATTACAACTGGTCTTTGTCACAAATACCAAGTGTCTAGATAAACTGAAACGAATGATATTGGGGGTGGAAACAAATGCTGTGCTTGAAAGACAACACCTGTTTGAAATGTAAACAAAGAAAATTTCAGACTTTATACTGTGTAGCATTTTCTCAATTTTTCAGACACCCATTTGCATGGAAAGAGCATAGTAGCAAGAAATAGGAAATTAAAAATAGATACAATACAGGAATGTGATGTGTTTATAGGAAACTGTCAAAAACACGTAAAATTACGCAGAACGATAACGGTAATAATCGGCATTTCTGTCCGCTTCTGCTCTTTCTTAAAATGAAAACGATAAAAACATGTAACAATACACAGATAGTCAGAATCATTCTGATTACTTACATCTCATATTTATGTACAAACGATCCCTGAATCAAGGGCAGGGTCCTCGCAAAACCCATGTCAGCCACCATTATTTAAGAAATCTCAACGGTAGTGATGTCATTCGTCAACATTGTTGTACATATTTGGCAATTTCTCTGAGGTGAAGGTCGGTAGAATAAGAGTATACACAATCACCATATCCCGCCGATTACACTTTCAGTATCATAATGTATTCATTAGGATATTTTTCATGAAACTAATTTAATTATCTACATTTAGTCTTGTTCAATATCATACAATACATTGGGTATAGGGTAATACGTGTTTGATTCTTTGAAAGTGTTTGTTTGAATAATATTTACAGAAGAAATTCACACATTTAGTGTAGTAAAACATATATAAACCTTTACACAAGTGTTAAAAGATGAAACGTAGGCATCATGTTCTTGTACAACATGTATGTTAGTTCCTATGAAGTGAATATATAGTTACAGTTTCGTATGTAACTCTTCGTCAGAATAATTTCCAGTATCGAAGTCCAGTCCACGATACACCTTATCCTTTCTTTGCTGAACTGGCCTCATGAAAGCAGTGTTAGCCATGGACGCCATTTGCGAGTTAACCACACTTAAAAAGTTAGCGGCGGTCCTTAGGTGTGTTAACTTTACGTCACGTTAACAACCTGTTTAAAGTTAACAGAGTTTTGAACAACAACATAACCCTCTGTTATTAGTTAACGGTCGGTTAAATGTACTTAACGACTGGTTAAAAGATAACCGAGTTTTGAACACTATGGCTATCATAAGCCCGTGTTAAAGGTATGAAAGTTGTTATCATCTCAGAGCTAAGGTCTCTTAGTGGAACCGACCTCAGGCCTAAATGTTATGATCTGCACCATAGTGAACCCAGCACAGTTCTACACACACGATTGTTAGTCTAGCCCATGCTTGTGTCAATATAGGTCTTGTTTGCTTGTGAGTGAGTGAGTTTGGTTTTACGCCGCTTTTAGCAATATTCCAGCAATATCACGGCGGGGGACACCAGAAATGGGCTTAACACATTGTGCCCATGTGGGGTTGTTTGTTTGTTGTTCAATGGTGCACTATTGCAGCTTTATGACAGTGGTCTGTAAATAATCAAGTGAGGACCAGACAATCCAGTGATTGATATCATGAGCAACAATCTACCCTTTTGGGATACAATGACATGTCTACCAGTCAAAGAACCACCCGATTCCATTAGGCGCCTCTTATGACAAGCATGGGATACTGAAGACCAATACTAACCTGTGTCAATACAGAATAGCAATACAATCATAATATATCGCAATCAAAGTAAGGGTATTTCTAAAACACCTATTGACCTAATTTAATTATCACCACTGTCCTTCCGTTTAAGAATTTCTACAGTCAGTTAGAATTTTTCTGCAGCGAAATCTTCCTGGAGCAGCCCCAAACATCATTGGTAGCAACTTACATCAAAAGTCTGCTTGCTGTAACATATCTGATCATGCCCTTCTTCACATCTCAACAACATCTCGCCAAAATCACTTGGCGGCATACGGAGGCAAGGTGGGGGATTTTATAGCACTTCATGCGGATTAGTTTGGACAAGGCTGCTGACAAAGTACCCTGTTCTATGTAATACATGCTCTCGGTGGGGATTATTTCATTTTTTGGGTAAACTGAGCACAATGCATTAGCTGAGTTTCAGTCAATGGAGCTAAAACTTTCGGACAGGGGAAAACAGCCCAATATGAAGTTTACTCTCAGTGAAATCATCAACTGGTGGTGATCCAACACTCTCCTCAAAATGCCAACTTACATGTTCTATTCATATTAATCACATTACACAATCATATTTTCTTTTCAGCAATAAGAAGTTATATAAGTTATATACCTCTGAATGACTTAATTAACCAATCACAATCCAGTATTTACTTTCATGGTAGAATTCAGTTTAATCACCGATTATCAGCTGCAGAAAAGACCTGAATGGAGTGGACAAACCCAGGAACATAATTATGATGAATCTGTGATTTGAAACCAGTCACTGCTTCCTGTCACATGGAAGGGACACAACTTTGCATAGGAGGTTAGGTGAAATTGGGCTTAACGTCGTGCTTGAGAATATTTCGCTCATATGACGACGTGCATGCGTTTGTATGTGTAGGTGCGGCTGTTTGTACTAGCCCAGACTGAAGATGGTTTTATAGTGCTAGCCCACTGAGATACCATGCCCCGCAGTGAAGCATGAATACCCCACTCAGACACATTATACTGACTCCGAGCCGACCAGTCCTTGATGTACCCATTAATGCCAAGCGCCAGGCAGGGACCAACAAGTACCATATTTTAACGTCTTTTGGTATGACGTGGTCGGGGATAGAACCCGCGACCTTCCGCTCTCCAGGCGGACGCTCTAGCCACTACACCACGGAGGCGGTCACTTTGCATAGGAATATGTGTTGCCTGACATGCACGCTTCTCCCTTCCCGTGGCTATTTTATATGAATGTTATCCCCACAGCTTGGACAATGAAACTTCACTCACACCAATCTACTGACGATACAAGAATCAATGAGTAACATCATGAATACCAGTCACTTCATCGTGTTCATGATGCAGCAGCATGAAGTCACATTGTCGAACCGTTCAGGTTTCCTGGGTCACAGACCAATGGTCACAACAAAGAACCAAACAAAGTGTCCCAAATTTGGTTGGTTGGTCGTTTAATGCCGCACTCAGCAATATTCCAGCTATATGGCGGCGGTCTGTAAATAATTGAATCTGGACCACACAATCCAGTGATCAACAGCATGAGCACTGATCTATGCATTTGGGATACGATGACATCTGTCAACCAAGTCAGCGAGTCTGATTACCCGATCTCACTTTTACGACAAGTATGTTCCCAAATTTGGTAATGATATAGAGGAATGAATGAAAGTTGGTAACATAAATTCTGAAAATGTGCTATTGCTATTTATTTATCTCCACCAACCTAACCCAACTAGTCATCCTTGACAGAGGGTGAAATGCACAGATACAAATGAAGGCTATCGATCCCATCAAGAGGAAAAGCATGGCTAACATATGCCTAATAAGCTAGTTTCGAAAAACTGGAAACACCCAACACCCACAAAACAGACTAAAAGGTCACCATCCCAACACTGATACAGACGGTATAGACACATAAAGATGAGAAAATATATGACTTTAATCATCTCCTGATGGAAGCCATGTTTCAAATGTTAGAGTCTACTCTACTGCCTATTGCAACAATCAGATGCCGGGCCATTCCATGTTAGAGTGAAGGGTAAAACTCATTGAAAACTCAAATTCATAATCCTTAAAATCAAACAACGATCACTGAATACATTATATACAAACTTTATATAATCATAGAACATGTCCTATGAGAAGCTGAAAAGGATGCTTCTAAGCTTAGCAATGTTTACAGTTGATCAAATCTCCAAGTGAGAATGAGATACGCCCACTGTTGTATGAATACTCCAAAACACAGGAATTTGACCAAAATCTTGCTTTTTCGAATGGATAACTTCAAATTAATGTCCTGTACGTTTCTGGACAATGAATGAGATAACCTCCGTTCATAAATCTGCTGAATTTTAATTTCCAATGAGTTGTTCCCAGTGAAGTAAGGGGCAAATACTGATGGCGCTTTGTAAATCTTACCGGTACCTCAGCTTCATCATCAACATCATCATCATCATCATTCAAAACATCCTAGAAAATAACCAACATGTAGTTTAGCCGTAAAAAAATAAAAAAACGCATTTAGTGATCAACTCATTTTAAGAAATCCTACATGCATGTCTTTAGGAGATAATGGCTTGAACATCTTTACTCTGCTGGCTGTTCTGTTCACCTCCCTCTCATCATTGTATTCATTTAACCCCACACCCTGAACAAAAATAATTCAGGGGTCATGAATATTGTGGGGATAAATTTATAGAATTGTGGGCTTGGTCTTCAATACAAAAAAAATATCCCTCTAAATACTCATGATCCATAACTTTTCTTGTTCAGTATATATAAAAGTTTGAAAGCAACAATATCTGACAAAGTACCAGCCATGGACAGAGTTCAATCAAATGATGAAGAAAGAGCAATGTGATGTTGGTGGTTAACCTCGACCCCATGAAACCATCCACTGCAAACCTTGGTTTCAATCAATGTTCAGCAGATCCTTCGACAAATAAAGGATGTAACTCAGATGTCAGCAGAGCGTAAAATGACTGGCCAAGTGCACGTACAAATGGAACCCCTGTAATAGTGTAATAGTTGTCATATTATACCGCTAATGGGACTTACAGAAGTATCAATGTTATCATCTATTTTGATATTTTCGAGGTCCAGCTCCAGTTCTTTCTCTAGATCAGCTACAGTCTGTGAGGCAGACTTGGCCTCGGGGGGTGGGGTGGCTGCCTTGGGGGTGGGTTTGCTGACTGGAGGGGGCGAGGAAACCTGCAACAGATAAATGCATCATACCCTTAAAAATACATCCACACATTGGAGAGAGATTATGATATCAATATCATCAGGATGACATTAAACTTTATGAATTGAGTGAATATTGTTTTATGTTTAAAATATCAGAGTATATTGAGCAGGTGTTTGCAAGGTTTGACAGGGACACCTTCGAAAAGAAGGCGTCTGCAAAACTTGTCAGTGTCACCATCGAGAAGCATGTGTCTCAAAGGCTTGACAGGGATGCCTTACAGAAGCATGTGCCTTAAGGGCTTGACAGGGGACACCTTCCGAGAGAAACAGGTGATAGGGATGCCTCAGAGGCTTGACAGGGACACCTTCGAGAAGAATGTCTGAAAAGCTTGACAGGGACGCCATTGAAAAGGTGTCTTAAAGCTTGACAGGACGCCTTTCAGAGAAGCATCTGAAAAGCTTGACAGGGATACCTTCAAGGGCATGTGTCTGCAAGGCTTGACAGGGGCCTCGAGAAAAGTAGGCATCTGAAAAGCTTGACAGGATACCTTCAAGAGAGGCATGTGTCTGCAAGGCTTGTGCCTTCGAAAAGTAGGTGTCTGCAAAGCTTGACAGGGGACATCTTGAAGCATGTCTGCAAGGTTTGAAAAGCATGTGTGAAAAGTAGGTGTCTGAAAAGCTTGACAGGGAGGCCATCGACAGGGACACCTTCAAAAGGCGACAGATGTCTTGAAAACAGGTGACTGAGAGGAGGCGACAGGGACACTTTAGAGGAGCATGTGTCTGCAAAGGCTTGATAGGGATGCCTCAGAGAAGCATGGTCTGCAAGACTTGACAGGGATGCCTTCGAAAAGTAGGCGTCTGAAAAGCTTGACAGGGACGCCATCGAGAAGCTGTGTCTGCAAAGCTTGACAGGGACGCCTTTGAAAAGTAGGCGTCTGAAAAGCTTGACAGGGATACCTTCAAGAAGCATGTGTCTGCAAGGCTTGACAGGGACGCCTTCGAAAAGTAGGTGTCAGTAAGGCTTGACAGGGATACCTTCAAGAAGCATGTGTCTACAAGGTTTGACAGAGACGCATTCGAAAAGTAGGTGTCTGAAAAGCTTGACAGGGAGGCCATCGAGAAGCATGTGTCTGCAAGGCTTGACAGGGATATTGTTGAAGTCAGTGCAATATATGACAGGAGCACATTAAGACACAGGTATACTCACAGGCTTTTGTGTTTGTTCTGATTGTTGTGGCTCGTCCAAGGATGTGTCATCTCCATCTATTGGTGCTGCATATACAAAGTCCCCAGACTCCTCTGCCTGCCTCATCTCCTCCAGGGGGTTCCGCTCTGTGTTGGCCTGGAGGCATGAGGAACATTTCTATGTCACTAGAGCTTAGCGAGATACTGGGTAAGGCTGATTTACTCGTATTCAAGGTACAGTTGACATACTGGTATGCTAAATAAGGTTGACTGACTGGTATGCAAGGTAAGGTTGGTTGACCGACTGGTTCTAAAATCAAATTACAGGTATGCAAGGTAAATGGCATTGTGTATTTAAGACTGACTTACAGGTATGAAAGGTAAGGTTGACAAACTGGTATACAAGAAGGGTCACTTACTCGTATCCTGAGTCAAACTGTATTAATTACAGGTGAGGTGAGGTGAGGTGAAATTGGGTTTTACGTCGTGCTCGAGAATATTTCGCTCATATGACGACGTGCATGCGTTAGTATGTGTATGTGCGGCTGCTTGTACTAGCCCAGACTGAAGCTGGTTTTATAGTGCTAACCCACTGAGATACCATGCCGCAGTGAAGCATGAATACCCCACTCAGACACATTATACTGACTCCGAGCCGACCAGTCCTTGTTGTACCCATTAATGCCAGGAGCCAGGCAGGGACCAACAAGTACCATATTTTAACATCTTTTGGTATGACGCGCGGGTCGGGGATCGAACCCACCGACCTTCCGGGCATTGTGGACGCTTCTACACCACCACTACACCACGGAGGCGGTCATTAATTACAGGTATGCAAGGTAAGACTGAATTACATTGCAAGGTATGCCAGGTACTTACTGGTATGCTTGGGAATGCCGAAGCTGGGGGTAGGCGTCGCCGCTGGCTCTGCATGAACTGTTCTGCCCTGAAGGCTTCCTTGAGTCCTGGGAACAGGTTCTCGTACTCTGTTGGGTCAGCCAGTGAATCTGCAGCCTTCTTGCTGACTGTGGCCAGACTCCCCCGCCACAACGACACAACTCTGGAAACAGGAAACATGTACAAGGCAGTGAGCTACTGAACGAACAACACCTCATCATGTTTGCTAAAAGATATGCATGTGATCAGAATTCCATCCATCCATCCACACTTCATCCAACCTCCCCCCACCCACCCAACCAACCATGCATCCAACCTCCCCCACCCAACCAACCATGCATCCATCCAACCAACCAACCATGCATCCCCACCCACCCAACCAACATTAATCCATCCAACCATGTATCCATCCATCTCCCCACCCAACCATGTATCCATCTGTCCGTCCATCCACCCAACCTTGTGTCCATCCATCCATCTACCCACCCATCCATCTACCCACCCATCCATCCATCCGTCCACCCACCTATCCATCCGTCCACCAATCCATCCATCGTATTTGGTTTCATGCCACTCTAAGCAATATTCCAGTGATATCACGTCAGGTAACCTGAAATGGGCTTCACCCATTGAACCCATGTGGGGAATACAACCTGGTGTTGGCAACCAGACTAGGCCTATGTTTAATGTCTCCCAATCACAGCCAAGGTGAAATCATTCACAACATGTCTCCTATTCATACTGACCTTGACACTTGACTTGGGAGATATGTTCGGGCAAAGAACGCTGCCTCAGGTAATCTGCCTGTTGAGACCAGAACCTCGAGACAATCTTCAAGCCTGTGAAGAAAACATTGGGAAAACCACTGAAAACCACTCCATTCATACAAGATGTAACATTTATAGTGAAATCAGTTACAGGAAATGTTACAAGCATGTCAGTGATGGAATGATGATGTGTGACAGTGTAACAGTGTGACAGTGTAACAGAATGGAATTCTTGTCAAAACCAAATCTTCCTTAAGTGGCATTTAGAAGCTGGTATGATGAAGTTACTACATCCCCACGGCTTACGATCAACTAATCAAGCCTAATCAAGACTAACCCCCCCTTTGTCTACTGGCTTCAATCATTTCTTATCACAACAAGTCTCATGTCAACACACCGTACATCAACCTCTTCTATTGTATAAACCAATACCCGCCATGTATATATTTCTCCTTGTGCAAATGTTGTGTATCATTTGCTTGATAACGGTGTTAGGATCTACACCGAAACGTTGCAACTACTACTGCAACAAGAAGTTGTCTATCCATAAAAGTGTTCCACTTCAAAGCCAAATCCATGTAACCAAAGTTATCACCATGCCCAAATGACTCACCTTCCTAAAGAAAAGTAGGACAAGAAAGCTACGTTGTTCTGTCCAGACTTGGCTGCGGTCTCTCCGAGTCGAGCGACCATCTCGGAGTTGCCCGCAGAGCTGGCGAGCAGCAGCAGACCCCCGAAGTCCTGCGCCTGGTGGAGACACTCCTGGGCCAGGCCGAACTCACACTTCCTAATGGCCAGCTCAGACAGCTGCTTCCATTTCTGTTCAGACTGCGACACAAGAAAAAAATGGTCACCATGGTTACAGGAGACAAGGTTTGAATACAGGAGACAAGGTTTGAATCGAGGTTCATTGTGTTTACAAGAGACATGGTTTGAATATCCTGGGTAACTGGAGACCTAGTTTGAATCAAGGGTTACCATGGTTACAAGACAAATTTGAATCCAAGGTATCAGGAGACAAGTTTGTCAAGGTTGATGACCCTTACACACATTCATCATTATGTCTCCAAAATGTATGTCCAAGGTTATTTTGTTTGTTCCTATGCAGCACTTATAAATATGGGCATTAATAATAATGTTCCTCTGGGAAACATCACAAAGTTCCAAGAAACGTATGTCCATATTGAAAACTTGCAATACATGCATGATATACTGATGGTAGGTTCCAAGGCAGGCCTATAATGACATGACAATGTAATGAGCCTTTGCTGTTACAAGCTCAGTCTCCCTCACCTCCATCTCCTTGGCAAGGGTGTATGCGATCTTCAAGTCTCCCAAACCGATGGCCAACTCAAACTTGTGTTCGGGGTCACACGTCACTGCCAGAGCCTGTGACTTGAAGCCCTGAAATGGTACAGAGGCCAACATGTCATTCAATTATCACAGTGCATATATATATGTATATCATTTTTAGATTTTAACTCATAGTCATAATTCATCATAATCATTCTGGACACAACTATTATTGGTTGTTTTTTGTTTAACACTGCACATAGCAATATTCCAGCTATACGGCTTAATAATGCAAGTCTCCACCAGACAATCCAGTGATCATGAGCATCGATCTACGCAATTGGGATATGATGACATAGGCACACAACCAGGGATGGAAATAACCCCTGCCCGACGCCCGAGTCCAGTGTTTTTTTCTGTCGGGCAACCAAATTTGTATATCCTACTGTACCGGTGTCCAGTTGACTTTCCAATATTAATTATATTATTTATTTAAAAAATCAACAAGAAAACGGCCGGTATAGTGGAAAAATTATCAGGGCAAGTGATTTTACATGTGCCACTGTACCGGAGTACACTAGCAACTTTAAAGTTATTTCCACCCCTGACAACTATGCATAGTTTTTAGGCATCACCATGATGTCAAGTCTAACTGAACTAACTAATTAAATCCACAAGGTTAAACGAACATCTAATGAAAATGATGTCTAGAGTTATGTACAGGATAGATGACTCAAAACTTTTGGGCCCGCATTTTATTCAGCTTTTTAAATGATTACGGAATAGTGACATCACTATTGCCTTTACCAAGCCTGCCAAGAATAAAGAGTCAATAAATTGCATGTACTCTGTCACACAAGAAGACAACCCACTTGTTTTTCGAGGAAGTGAGAGACCCTGGTTCTCTGTTCACGGGGCACAGTGGGCAGGACCTTGTCTGCCGTCTCGAAGTCTCGCCGCATCACCGCGGTCTGGTACTCCAGCACGGACACCAGCAGGGAGTAACTGACGATATTCAGCTCCTTGTCTCCCAGGTACAGGCGGTTGTCTTTGGGGATGTATCCGAGCAGGTACATCACCCTGGAACACAACGTCACCGAGATGGTGAGTGTTAATTCTATAATCGTCATTCTAGTGAGGGAGTGAGTTTAGTTTTACCCAGCTTTTAACAATATCCCAGCAATATCACAGCAGGGGACACTAGAAATGGGCGTCACACATTGTACCCATGTGAGAATCAAACCCGGATCTTTGGCCAACAGGCTAACGCTTTAACCACTAGGCTACCCCACTGCCCTGGCATGTAAACACTACACTCTTCCATCAGACATAAATTCAAATGGACTCTTGCCATGTGGTAGCTATTTTTATCCATTATATCCACAGCAACAAATGTTATATCTGAGGCTACATTTTCCTAATAAAGTACAAACTCTAAAACTTTCTTGGGTTGAGTCGAATCTGGAATTCAAATCCAAACTGTCAAGAGTGAGGAACATAAATGCCAGTGCACAAAGTCATTTCTGAGTGGGTTAGTGGTTTCATGTACTCACACCTGTCTAAGTGGGCAATGGTCACAATTTCTCCGCCAACGTAGTAGTTGAGTCTGTTGGCGCCGTTGGTGTAGATGAAGCAATGTCGCCAACCCACAACCCTGTCTTCACCGTCTCCTCAATCTCACCCATAACCTGGCAAAATCATTACTGTGTTATAACCAATAATTAAAAAATACAATAAAATAAAACACAATATGTTAGTGAACTGATACAGAAATATTTATTATTATTTATTACTATATTATCGAACAAAGTAGCAAATTATAGTCACTGAACTTTTTTCCAAGAAAGGGGAGACAACTCTGCTAAGTGACATGTCCTAACGCTGTGTACCTCGAAGGCCTCCTCAATGCCGCCCTCGTTGATTCCCTCCTTGGTGTCCCTAGCTCGGCTCAGCGGCTTCCTGGCTGTACTTGAGGATGAAGAAAGACTCATCCGTGGCAATACACACCAACTCTCCGTTCTCACTCCAGAATATCTGCAACATAAAATAAGTCTGTAAGTTCATATATCACAAATAAAACCCCATAGCTTGCTTAGAGAAGCTAATACTTTAGTTCTCCCAACTAAAACCTCGCTCAAATTGGAATGTTTTGTGGATATGCTTTGTTGTAAAGACTGAGCACATGGGTAAAAATATCCATGATCCTTAAGTGTTTTTATCAATATAGTTACTGAAAAGATGGCTTCCTTGATGGTCACTGGTCACCAGACAAGTAACTATCCATCCTCGAGGACATTTTCATTTTTCACTGCCTCCAAACAAGAAGAGTGAGTTTGATTTTACGCAACTTTTAGCAACATTCCAGCAACATCACGGCGGGGGACACCAGAAATGGGCTTCACACATTGTACCCAAGTGGGATTCAAACCCGGATCTTTGGCCAACAGGCTAACGCTTTAACCACTAGGCTACCCCACTGCCCTGGCATGTAAACACTACACTCTTCCATCAGACATAAATTCAAATGGACTCTTGCCATGTGGTAGCTATTTTTATCCATTATATCCACAGCAACAAATGTTATATCTGAGGCTACATTTTCCTAATAAAGTACAAACTCTAAAACTTTCTTGGGTTGAGTCGAATCTGGAATTCAAATCCAAACTGTCAAGAGTGAGGAACATAAATGCCAGTGCACAAAGTCATTTCTGAGTGGGTTAGTGGTTTCATGTACTCACCTGTCTAAGTGGGCAATGGTCACAATTTCTCCGCCAACGTAGTAGTTGAGTCTGTTGACGCCGTTGGTGTAGATGAAGCAATCGCCAACCCACAACCCTGTCTTCACCGTCTCCTCAATCTCACCCATAACCTGGCAAAATCATTACTGTGTTATAACCAATAATTAAAAAAATACAATAAAATAAAACACAATATGTTAGTGAACTGATACAGAAATATTTATTATTATTTATTACTATATTATCGAACAAAGTAGCAAATTATAGTCACTGAACGTTTCCAAGAAAGGGGAGACAACTCTGCTAAGTGACATGTCCTAACGCTGTGTACCTCGAAGGCCTCCTCAATGCCGTCCTCGTTGATTCCCTCCTTGGTGTCCCTAGCTCGCTCAACGGCTTCCTGACTGTACTTGAGGATGAAGAAAGACTCATCCGTGGCAATACACACCAACTCTCCGTTCTCACTCCAGAATATCTGCAACATAAAATAAGTCTGTAAGTTCATATATCACAAATAACACCCCATAGCTTGCTTAGAGGAGCTAATACTTTAGTTCTCCCAACTAAAACCTCGCTCAAATTGGAATGTTTTGTGGATATGCTTTGTTGTAAAGACTGAGCACATGGGTAAAAATATCCATGATCCTTAAGTGTTTTTATCAATATAGTTACTGAAAAGATGGCTTCCTTGATGGTCACTGGTCACCAGACAAGTAACTATCCATCCTCGAGGACATTTTCATTTTTCACTGCCTCCAAACAAGAAGAGTGAGGGAAAGAGTTTGATTTTACGCAACTTTTTAGCAACATTCCAGCAACATCACGGCGGGGGACACCAGAAATGGGCTTCACACATTGTACCCAAGTGGGGATTCAAACCCGGGTCTTCGCGTGACGAGCCAACGCTTTACCCACTAGGCTACCCCACCACCCCCCCAAACAAGAAGAATTGAGAAATAATGTAAGAGACTGAAACAATAAAAAATACATAGCATGTACAAAGTGTTACAAAACTCGGAACAACTAGGATATGAAAGAGGACTCACATGTCTGGGGGTGATCTCGATCCTCCGAATAAGTTCAGTGCTGTCCCACTCGTAGAAGGCAAGACCACTGACAGACCGGACTCCCAACATGCAACCACCAAATATACCTGCCAATATAGAGGTCATTGTATAATTGTTCCTTAAAATTTGTTTCATCGGGTCAAATGATTCAAGGCTTTACGAAAACGTCAAAACAATTTATGGTAGATGGAAAGATGTTCCCAGATCTGGTGCATCAGTGACAGAGACAATGTCCAGTTCAGTTTTCCTATTTGACCTTACATGAAACACATTAACTTGACTTTGCATGTGTTTGTGACATGACGGGTGAGATATGATCACCTTCTCACAATCAACTGGTACAAGCACTACTTTACGCTCATTCTCATCACATGGATATGACACAGTCGGAATCATACTTATGACTCCCATATCTTATGATTATTGAAGTAACTTTGTTGCTTTTTTAAGAAGATGAGTATATGAAGACATAAAGGGCCATACACACCTTCGGCTCCAAAGTCTGGCTTGAAAGATTTCTGTTCTTTAAAGTTCTTGAAAATTTTGACAGAGGTTCCGCCGTCTCGGATTGCATACACAGAAGAGTCATTGCTCCACACAAACTCCTGGGCTGAGCCGAAACTCTTGTTCCGCAGTGCCATGGCGGTGTAAATGATGTACTCTCCGTCTCCGCACACAACAACAAACCTAAAACGTAGAACACGACTGAGTCAGTCCTAACGTGTTATATTTGGCATTACACTTTTTTAGTAAAGTACAGATTTTAGTACTTTTGTCAGGTTGGGTCCCATCCGAGGATTCGAACCCACACCCTCAGAGTCAGGCACCTAATCATCAGCACACAAAGTTAGCTGTCTAACCCACTCAGCCACCGCTACTTCCACAGAGTCAGTCCCATACTAAAACTGCAGAGACACATGTGAATCAATCATATACCTAAAATGAAGAAAGATGAGCCAACCGTGTACATAAAATGCAGCTAAAGGCCTAAAAAAAACCCAAAAGATGTGAGTCAATCATATACCGACACTGGAAACACAGGTGAGGCAATCATATACCTAAAATGAAGAAAGATGTAATCAATCATATGCCTAAAATGAAGAAAGATGAGCCAACCGTGTACATAAAATGCAGCTAAAGGCCTAAAAAAAACCCAAAAGATGTGAGTCAATCATATACCGACACTGAAACACAGGTGAGGCAATCATATACCTAAAATGAAGAAAGATGTAATCAATCATATGCCTAAAATGAAGAAAGATGAGCCAACTGTGTACATAAAATGCAGCTAAAGGCTTAAAAAAACCCAAAAACAGGTGAGGCAATCATATACCTAAAATGTTGATAAAGATGTGCATGTTATGTAACTAAAATGTAGAGAAAGCAGAGAATCAGTCCCATACCTCCTCACATGTTTAAAGACTGAAGTTAATCACACACCTCAAATGGACAGTGAGTGAGTGAGTGAGTGAGTGAGTGAGTGAGTGAGTGAGTGAGTGAGTGAGTGAGTGAGTGAGTGAGTGAGTGAGTGAGTGAGTGAGTGAGTGAGTGAGTGAGGCTGTCTTCTTTCAAGTGTTTACAATTCAAATAGACATAATTCTGGAGAAACTGGAATTTGGATCCATAATGGTATGTAAACCTTCTCAGCGAATTGTGACACCACAGACAACCAGACCAAGTGAATTTTGACTTATTTCACACCACTATCATATACAATGTGAAAATCTTCTCAAGTCTTGCAAAAATATTTGCCATTTTTTTAGTTGAAACTATGAAAGATGAATGAGTGAGTGAGTTTAGTTATACGCCACACCCTGCTATATGGCGGCGGTCTGTAAATAATCGAGTCTGGACCAGACAATCCAGTGATCAACAGCATGAGCATCGATCTATGCAAATGGGATACAATGACATGTGTCAACTAAATCAGCGAGCCTGACCACCCGATCCAATTAGTAGCCTCTTACGACAAGTATGGGTTACTGAAGATCAATATTCTAACCCGGATCTTCACAAGTAGTTGATTGATGAGGCAATATTAGTTTCCCAAAAGGTGAATGCACATTCATATATTTCTTAAATTTAAATAATATCATTACATAATTTTGCTTCCACTGGATGCTATTCTCACTCCAGCTACTAATTGTTTGTACCCACAGTATTTTTCAGCTTCCTTGTAACCTCACTTAATAAACAAGCTTTGGTGGTGAATGGGTGCAGATTATTTATCCTATTGTAACAGATGTAATACACTATATCATGGATGTAGGCAACAATTGGAATACACTAAAACTATGTCTGATGTTTTCCTTACAGAAGCACCCTAGTTTTAAGTTTAAAACTGAAAACCCATTTGGATCTCTTTGAGATAAACCTGAGGCTGTTGGTGGAATCACACCATTACTTGAGTAAGCCAAAAAACACCTGTATATCATCTCACAATGACAGGACGATATATAAGCTATCATCCATCTCATTCTGACTGACTGACTGAGTTTGGTTTTACGACGCTTTTAGCAATATTCCAGCAACATCACGGCGGGGGACACCAGAAATGGGCTTCACACATTTTACCCATGTGGGGATTCGAACCCGGGTCTTCGGCATGACGAGCCAACGCTTTAACCACTAGACTACCCCAGCACCCCCATCATCCCATTATGAGTACTGTTACTAATTACTTTGGATATTCTTTAATTCTGCTTGATATCAGATTATCACATATCTTACCACCATCCCAATATAATAAATATCATAAATCCATTCACCACCTAAGACAAGATATGATTATATTGTAATTTTACAGCTGAGTTATTTATTGCTGAGTTCTGTTTGTGAACAGAAAGTGACTAAAGTGAAACCTGGATCTATTGTACAAAACAATCACAGCGCTTTAATTTTTGTAATGCCCAAAGAATTTCTTATAAGTTTTCATTTTTGGCCAATAAAAATAGCGGGGAAAACTTATTTTTTTTTTTTTTTCTTATTTTTGAAAAAATATGACCGGCGGATCCGTAAAACAAGAAATAAAATTGGTCTGGCCGAAACTATAAGTACAAATTTTAGTAATTTAGGGTTGAGTCCCGTTCGGGATAGTAACCCACACTCTCAGAGTCAGACATCTAAATGCCAGCTCATAAATGGCTCCCATCCTTCAGCAAAGACCTACTACACTCGTAGTGCTATGATCGCTTGTGAAACCTGGCCGACATTCTCTCAGCTGCTTATATACTGTATGCAGCAGTGAGCGAAATAGTTTCCAAATTTTGCTAGCCAGTCGGGCCACCTATGCCTGAAAGTTACTAGCCCACAAAATAATTCATGAGACCGAGGTTTTAAAGTAGACCTGGGTTTCATCATTAATCTTCTGATATGATGAACATTTTATCAGGACATAATCTTGATGGTCTAAAAGTGTATTATAACTTAACAAGCTGGAGAGAGTGATATATTTACAAGATGACCCCATGAAAATTCACGAGCCAGTCGCACCAGTGACTGTGGAGATTTACTGGCCTGACTGGATTTTTACTAGCCACAGGCTAGCGGGCCAGTGGCTATTTCACACACTGGAACAGAGTGAGGAAGGCAAACCAGTGGTTGATACCATGACCAACGATCCATACAGTGGAAGGATAATGATCTTGACAACAACTATCTATATTTAGGTTGTTGCCAAACAATCCAGTGATTGACATCATGAACAACTGGATGCCAATGACCAGCATCTGAAAGGTCAGTATGCCAGATGATCTGATCCCGTTTGGCGTCTCTTGTGACAGCATGGGTAAATAAAGACCAATTCTAACCCAGTTCATTAAGGGTTTCTTTCAACAGTTATTGACTACAATCACCCTGTTCTCAGTATTTTCAGATCTAAGTGTGTGCAACTATTACACATATCCAGCCACCATCTAACGAATGGATTCAATAGACAAACAAAACACATCACAGAAAACAGTTTATTAACAAATGTCTCCCATGGGGATAACGTGTAGAAAATTCTTAGATCAGCCTTCATGGTGATTGTAATGGCTTTGCCAGCTGCCCAAACGATTCAACATGGACAACACAATTCAGGCAAGAATGTTCACCAGAACAATGAGCATTATAAGGAATTAATCTCATTAACAATCACTGCATACTGGTGCTACCACGGGAGGTAACTCATTACAGCACATTAACATAAACAGTGCTTTGGAATCAGCATCGATGAATTTTATACTGACTGGACATATTTCTGATGAGTTCCCCTGGCCTGTGTGTTCCAGATTAAACACAGGTATCCAAGATTAAAGCTAGACTCGAATCCTAGCCCATTTCTTTTATAAATTACTAAGTTAATGCACAATCTTTGATTAAAGTCCAATATTGAAAATTAAAAATCAGCTCAAAATGTTATTATGGTTTCAAAATGCTCAAAACAGAGACTTCTGGAAAGTTTTTCACTTCAGTTTAATTACACCAGATTTATCTTGTGATACTGCTAACCACATGCACAATGTGTAAAGTACCTGCATAGTGTTGCACAAAACACATTGAAATCAATTCTTTTATTTCAATACACAAAATTATTCACTTCACAGATGTCTTACTGATAACCCTAACAAACTGACATCAGTGACATTGTTCACTTAGCCCCGCCCATTCAATTATTGACCAATCAGGAAAGCGTAGTCTGTTTGTGGGTGTGTCCTTATTTTGTTTAATGAAAACATAAACATAGTTAGCCAATCAAAACCCATGGAATCAGTTGGAATTCATTTATCATTGATCACACTGACATGTTAATTTGGGGCATACAAAGAGATCATCAGATTGACTCATATGCAGCATGTGAGACATTTCAATCATAGACTGAAGACAGACATAGTGTGTGATCAACCGAACAGATCAACAATATGATTTCACATGCGTTAAGCATCCATATCAAATGGTCAGTACATGCAAATTGGAGTTATGTGAGTTGACATCATGCTGACATGGTAACCATGGTAACATTATAGGCCTAGCCAGAGCTTGCACTAGGTTGCTCCTCTGGAGTAGCACCGCCGATAGCTTCACTGAAAGATTAATTGAACTAACAGAAACTACAGCATGCAAAATGTACTGAAATGAAGAAATGATTAATATGATTGGTCTGCATGCTGAATTGTAAAGTAAAAATATACAAGAAAATCAGAAAATCATATCACTAGTGGACAAGAACCAAACTCACAAGAACAAACATTTGAATACATTTTGAAGGACACAATTCTGATTGGAACTGCAATGGTTTTGCATGCATGTTTGTTGTTTCATACCCGTGAAGATCCGAGTTAGAACTGATCTGGGTATGGCTTTACGCCGCTTTTAACAATATTCCAGCAATGTCACAGCAGGGGACACCAGAAATGGGCTTCACACATTTAACCCATGTGGGGAATCCAACCAGGGCCTTCGGTGTGAAGAGCAAAAGCTTTAACCACTAGGCTACCCCACCGTCCCGGGATGAGATGAAGTGATATATCCTAGGACATATTCTTAAAATGAAATTGCATCACAATGATTTGCAGACAATTGTTACATCATCTGTAACCATGACATCACAATCATGAGACATCACTATTTTCTCTGCAACTGAAGCTGGTTGGACGTTCTCTGCTCAAGGCACTGTCTATTACTGTTAAAGATTGAAACATTTTAAATAATGACCTCAAATGATAAATGGAATCTCACCCTCATGTCTTTCAAATTAATATCAAGTATATCAACAGCTCATATTGGTTAGGATGGCCCAAAATGATCTTCCACAAGTCTTTTTTTCACACACACTCACCTTCCATTAGGGTTGTGTTGGATGGTCTGGGGGTAGATTTCACAGCTTCCCATATCCTTCACTGCTAGGGGGAGACGCTCTCCGTCATGGATATCCTGGTCAGAGATGGCTTTGATGTTGGCTTGTTGCACCTCTGCATGCTTGGCCCAGATGATCTTCCCGCTGGCATCCATGGACATTGCTGGCTCCTCCCGCCCCAGCTGGAACACAAACAAGGATGTCAGGCAAATGTTGTCATACTGATGTAAACAGACAAGTGGACAAGTTGTCATATTGAGGTTATACAGGCAAGATACAGGTTGTCATATTGAGGTCATACAGGTAAGATACAGGTAGTCATACTGAGGTATACAGACAAGTGGACAGGTTGTCATATTGAGGTCATACAGGTTGTCATATTGAGGTCATACTGGTAAGATACAGGATGTCATATTGAGGTCATACAGGTAAGATACAGGTCAGATATAGGTTGTCATATTGAGGTTATGCAGGTAAGATATAGGTTGTCATATTGAGGTTATACAGGTAAGATATAGGTTGTCATATTGAGGTTATACAGGCAAGATACAGGTTGTCATATTGAGGTCATACTGGTAAGATACAGGTTGTCATGCAGGTAAGATACAGGATGTCATATTGAGGTCATACAGGTCAGATACAGGTTGTCATACTGAGGTATACAGACAAGTGGACAAGTTGTCATATTGAGGTCATACAGGTTGTCATATTGAGGTCATACTGGTAAGATACAGGATGTCATATTGAGGTCATACAGGTTGTCATATTGAGGTCATACAGGTAAGATACAGGTCAGATATAGGTTGTCATATTGAGGTTATGCAGGTAAGATATAGGTTGTCATATTGAGGTCATACAGGTAAGATACAGGTTGTCATGTTGAGGACATACTGGTAAGATACAGGTTGTCATGCAGGTAAGATACAGGATGTCATATTGAGATCATACAGTTAAAATACAGGTTGTCATATTGAGGTCATGCAGGTAAGATACAGGTTGTCATATTGAGGTCATACAGGTTGTCATATTGAGGTCATACAGGTAAGATACAGGTTGTCATACAGGTAAGAAACAGGTTGTCATATTGACGTCATACGGTTAAGATATAGGTTGTCAAACTAAGGTCATGCAGGTTGTCATATTGAGGTCATACAGGTTGTCATATTGAGGTCATTCAGGTAAGATACAGGTTGTCATACTGATGTCATACAGGTAAGATACAGGTTGTCACATTGAGGTCATACAGGTTGTCATATTGCGGAGGCAGACTGACCTTGATGATGATACTGCCTTCATCATATCCAAGGGCAACGTTGTTGGAGCCCTTCTGACAGCTGATTGTCCAAACCCTCTCAAGTCCATAGTTGAGGGTGCTCTCAAGACGGTAGGTGTTGGCGTGCCAGATTCGCACTGTACCTGAAACCATCAATCACTTCGTCATCTCACCCAATCCTTTCAAATAATGACTTATCACTCAAAAGATGTTAAGGAACATGGTTGTTTCCAAAACTATAGTTATAGTCAGAGAGGATAACTCACCATCTTCTGAGCCAGTAAGGATGATGGGCAGCTCTGGATGGAAGGCGACAGCGGAGATGTTCTGTGCGTGGCCTTCTAATGTCTGTACACAGGTCTTGTTCTGAAGATCAGGAGGAATAAATGAAAAATGTTTATAAACCATGCTCCTGAAAACACACAAAATCTCACTTGCGGGTGTCATGGAGTATTTGAAGCCCAGAAATATAATTTAAAATACATTTCTCTTATCACAGATTTTGGACTAGTCGCTAATGCCACAGACTGACACTAGTGACAGTTCATACCTGGTAATCCCAGATCTTCACAAGTCTGTCATCAGCTCCAGAGATAAGGTATGGCTTATCTCCCCCTGTGTAGTAGTCCAGACAGTTGACCCCCTTTTCATGACCCTCCAGGGTGAAGTTAGGGTTTGAGGAACCGAGCTGCCACACCTGAAACGGACACACCATCATAAACACAAGGGATCAACACCAACCAAGTAATCAAGCTGGTATCTTATGACCCATAAGATCACTGAACTAATTATAACCTGTATGTTCACAGTTGCCTTGCTATGCATTCTCATATGTCTCAACACACAGACACATTATTTTAAAAAAACTTTGTTTGTTGTCTAATGCTCAGCAATATTCCAACTATATGATAATCAAGTCTGGACCTGACAATCCAGTGATGGACAGAATGAGCATCAATCAAAACAACTGATCCGAAGACATATGATATGACTGTGATGTGTAGCCGCCTATTACGACAAGCATGAGTTGCTGAATACCAGTTCTAACACGGATCTTCACAGGTCTCTTAAAAATCAAACAATGTAGAAATCTGTATAAATCTTCCTCACCTTGACTGTTCTGTCAAGGGACGCACTGGCAAACTGGTTGTTGTCTTTAGGGTTGATGACGATCTGCATGACGTAATGGGTGTGTCCCTCAAACACCTGAGTACACACCCATTTCTTGTCCCAGTCCCACAACTTGATAAGCATGTCATCTGAAACGAGAACAGTGTTATTAAAATACAGATCAGGAAATAAATAATGGATATTAATCAGACAAGAAAGACAACCCTGCCATTTTCTAACTCAAAATCTATAAACAAATATTAGTAAATGTTACATTAAACCCATAAATGTCAACCAAGTCAGCGATCCTGACCACCTGATCCTGTATTCCATCTTTTACAAAAAGCATGGTTTGCTGAAGACCAATTCGAACAAGGATCTATATGGGTATAAACCATTATGGACTACGTGAAGGCGAATTATACCATTTGTACATCAGTTTACAAGAATTATTGCCCACAGATACACAAGCATACTCACCACTGCTGGTGAGGATGTAGGGCTGTGTGGGGTGAACTGCTATAGCACGGAGGTAGTCGGAGTGGGCTTCGAATTGATGCACTCTCTCCAGAGTGTTGTAGTTGAACACACGGATGTGCATGTCATCCTAGGGGGAAAAAAATCATGAAATAATTTGCAGCTGAACCAATGCTTGCCTGCTCAATGACATGTCTGTAAAAGTGTGACATAAGCTTACTTCATTTATTTCCATTAACTAAGGTGTAATGGTATCAGTTATCTCCCCTTTAAATGGGAGATTGCTCCGTGGGTTTGGCTCCCTTCTGGGTCTAGATATAGTTGGATAATGTTTAACATATACTTATAATTAAACTAATTATTAACTCATAGAATTGATAGGGCCAAAGAAAAAAAATGTTGTGGTTTCGAATACAGCTCTTTAAAATTTAGGGTAGGTAGGTAGGAATCATTTTTTTTGCATGTTTTCTAGAAGTAACTTACAAACCAATAACACATTTATCAATGTGTAATTGTTTATTTAATCAAGCTTGCCGTCATCATGTCAACTTTCTATATCAGAATGACTGATGTCCGTCAGTGCCGAGAAAAAACAGTGTCATCTGAAGGCTGATTTTATTTATACCGCTTAAAAATAGGGTCGGCACCAGAATTCAAGGGTCGGTCGGGTAAATGGAACCACAACAATTTTTGTTTTAGGCCTAAACCTGGGGAAATTTGAGCAACCACACTAAGTGAGCAGAATATCAAATCAAGACTGCTAATTGGTCTGATTGTAGTCACATATTCTATCCCTATTCATGAGCCCTGTTATGGTCTTACTAATTCAGTATATTTTCAGATCAACAGATTTTGATGGTCACATGATAGTGCTGATACTTACAGAACCAGTGATGACCCAGTTCTTCCTGGCCACAAACCTGGCGGTCCTGACTGGCAGATCACAGACTTCAAATGATTTGATAAGTTGCTGAAAGTAAACAGTTTTCTTAATACTCAGTATACGTTGGTATCTACACACATCAGGCAATGCGGGCAAAAAGCAATAACATGAGGTGGCTGACGTTCTTGTAATGCGTTTGCAGATAGACGATCATCCGAGAACATGAAGTAATCACAGTTATACGTTTCAACATTGTATGGCAGTCAAATTTCGAGTAGTAAGCAACAAGTGCAGGAAATAGTAGTGCTGGATTAGATTAAAAAAAATCAAATTACTCAGTATCTTTTGGTATCCATAAATCCAGACTTGCTTCTTAATGTAAACTTTATACATTTGTTGGTTTTAAGGCCACTTTGAACATCAATATTATGCTGACATGCTCAAAAGCACAACTGGGATCTACCATGATTGTAACTGAGGACCACTGGTTTAAACCCAGCAATTTGTGGCATATTTACTGACATTGCTGAAAAAGTTTGTTTGTGAACACGTATGATAAATTCCTTTTTTATATTACATTTGCTCATTTCAATGCAGAGCTACGCTTGGGTCATTGAGTTATGTACTCGCTTGTGTTCATCTCAATTGGGTATCCTAATGTTCCTTTGAGTAACCAAATAAATTGTACCCACCTCACTCCAATTCAATTGGGTATTTTGCCATTTTCCATTAATTGTAACATGTAAACAGTTTAAATGTTGGTTTACCTGTTTGTTATTTATATATGATCTGTTATATGAGAAACGATAAGAAAGACTGCAAGTTGCCAAGTCCAGGTGTTGAAATAGAAGCTCTCAATATACCACAGTTATTTTATCTATTTTTGTCTGTACGCATGTAATATCAAATCTATTGAGTATTTACAAAAATTGAAGCATACTGTATATGACCGTCTATAAGACGACCCCATGGATAAGACGACCCCCAAACTTGACCCTTAAAATCAGTGTCAAAATGGTATGTTTCGTGCATAAGTCGATCCCCCGCGATGGGGTCCTAATAGCGGCAAACACAGACCACAGACAACTGGCAGTTACCAATAATTATAACTTTGGTCCACATTATTCAAAGAATTCACTGTCATATATATTGTGTCTACTCACGGATAGAAACAAAGTGTAGTTGACAGAAAATGCATAATATATTTTGCTTTTCTAAATATCATATTTATTGTAGCAACAAACTGGCTTGCTTATTTTACCCCATTCAACAATCACGAACTGATTACCGCCTCGTTTTCCATTGACTGCTAGTTTACGGTAACATCGGTAAAAATGTGTGAATTTAAATGGCTTCCTACCCCATTCCATGTGCTTACCACGTTCATGAGGGTCCGTATAACCTTAGTGTTGATTATATATATTTTACATAAAAACTGTAAATAAAATTACACAATGCTAGGATATATTTCTTTGGGTTAATTAATAGTATTCTGTATTATATTTTACTGACGACTGCGTCAGAATTCATCCCGTTATATTATTGTGCATGTTTGAACTTGTTCGCCGGGAAACGTGTGCACAGCTGATTGCTATTTCCGGCTCAAACACACACGGTAATCTTAATTAATTCATAGAGCAAAATCTGTAACTAAAATTACACAATGCTAGGATATATTTCTTTGGGTTAAATAATGGTATTCTGTATTATATTTTACTGATGACTGCATCAGAATTCGTCCCGTTATATTATTGTGCATGTTTGAACTTGTTCACCGGGAAACGTGTGCACAGCTGATTGCTATTTCCGGCTTTGTGTAAGAGACAAATACGCACGGTAATCTTAATCCCTGCAAATAATACAATGCCCAGCAAAAACAACTTATAACTTAAAAGGTAAATAATCTTGTCTAGTGATGTTTAATTGCAAATTTGACGTCTCTACTGACAAAGTCGTCTTCTGTTGTTTGTTCATGCGAAGTGATACGATGTTGTTTTCTTACCCCTGGAAAAAAGTTTGACGAAAGCGTAACCCATGGATAAGACGACCCCCTTCTACAGACTGCTTTTTTGGTCCTCAAAATTCGGCTTATAGACGGACATATACGGTACTTGTATGCAATAGACTTAATAGGAATTGAGTTTTCACATAAACATTGCGTAATTTACGCAGATACGCAGCTTATCTGTGCCTCTGTCAATGTCTTCCTCATGAAAACTAGACTTAGTGACATACCTGTGATTCATAGTTCCACACATGAACATTTCCATTGTATAAACTTGCTAACATCCACTGCTCTGAGGGATGAAGGTCAACACATTTCACCCGATCAGATCGAGCAGACAACTTCCGCTTGATGTCAAGACGTAAAGGCTGAAATGTAATGGTGTAACAATAAATGAGCATGATACATTACTCTTCAACATTGTTCTGGCTGTAAGAATGAAGAAAAACAGTATTTATTTTGACCTGAAAAAAAGAGACTCAGGTTTGGTAAACAATAGAAAATTAGTGGTTGATCAGTGTAAATTTCTCCATATAATTATAAAGCCACTGGATGATCTCTGTGTAAGGTCAAAGAATCTTTGGCTTTCAGTCAATTTGCAAGTAACATATAGCATTATTGTATGATAGGCACTGCGGCAAAATTAACCGAGGACAAACCAATGCAATCTCTTGTTGGTAGGAATGAAAACAATCATTAACTGAATTAATTTCTGCACTGCAATTTACTGACTTTACAATTATCTGCAACAATGCACAAGCATCATATTGTCTCTACACACTGCACATCTAGTAACACATCTTCTATGTCAACGTACACATGTTGTAGTTGTAACAGTTAGAGCTACTTGAAATGCAAGTCTGCACATTTGAGCCTGTCAGTTGAAGACCATGCAAAATATGACTGCAAATCATCTCCATGACAGCCCGTGAACTAACAGATATGAAGACAGCAATGGGTGTGATTTTTTGTATGGATCATATGTACAGTGTGCTAGCACACATCACTAACAGCCATAACATTATCGTGACAAATATTGAGCTCAGTGTAATGGTGACAGTATGGGTTTGATCAAGCCCAACACAATTACACAAACGATTGAATTAGGGATAGTTTTACACTATAAACCACGTTTTCTGGAATGAAAATAACGTAAGCCAAAATCCACTGAACATTTTGTGTAATGTATTTAGATACACGATCTCAATGATACATCTCAATGCTTTTCAGCAAAGCAAAACTACCACGTTACTGTTATTTCCTAGACTGTATACAAACTACCGGCACTTCAGAAACAGCTGCTATAGATGACAAATTACAACAATACTTACCATAACGTTACTTTAGTGAGTACAAGTACAAATCAATCTGTAAACTATGATTATATACGACTGTATAATCTTATCTTACCATGCTTCTGTCAAATGTAACTACTTATATCTTGCAGAGCTGGATCAGAATACGTGGCTGACGATCTGCGCATGAGCGAGCGGAAACGCAAGTGCTTCTCGCAGAATCTCGTTAAACGAGAACACAACAGTAATGGCCGCCAATTTCTCTGTGCATGCACAGACACCTTTACTCTAGATTGTACACATGAACATGCTGAAACCAAAATGCGAAGTCTGATCAAGCCATGTACATTTAAGGACAATATTCATAACTGATTGTAAAAGAAGCTTCTTTTGATAGAAGTTAGTATTGACATTTCTGCACAATATTCGACTTGTTGCCAGGGAAGCTTTCAGTAGGATGATTTCGTGGATTTGAGACTTCAGGATATACACCATTACAGAAACCCAGTGATATATCATCAACATTCCAGGTTGTGTCCGACTTACGGTTTTATTCATGCTGAGGACATAAAGAAACTTCTCCAATTTGAAACGCTTCCACAACGACAATCATGAGGGTGTCTGGTCTGGTTCCAGCACGTTTTCTAACTCTTATTGCTCATCTGATAATTGTCATCGTCATATTTTGGTCCAAAGTAAGTATATGAGTGCTAGCTTTTTTCTGATTTTTATCATAAGTGTACTTGAATAACCGAAGGGGCAAAGGGATCAATTTGGGCTGACCTACCCTAAATTGCTAAAACGCTGGCAAGGCCCTGAAGTGGCAAGAGCAAGATTGAAGTGAACAGTAAAGCATGTACGGCTGTAGGTGAATTCGTAGACCAGACTGGTTCGTAGACGTGGAAATCCGGTGGATTCGTAGACGGATTGAGCGGTGGGTTCGTAGACGTTATTAAAATGGGAAAAGTTCAACCTCAATGATGATGAAAACTGACGAAAAGTGTTTGCATTTTGTGAAATAAATAAAATATATCAGGTAAGTATGATCGGCGGTGAAAATATGCTTAAAATAATAAAATATGCTTCACAGCGGTCCACGTCCGACAAATTCCGACAAATCATAGGCCGCTAATATATTAAATTCAGTTGTGTAAAATTAAAAGATATGTATTAGGTAAGTATCGTCATTCAACGTTCAACTACGCAGACCAGCAGAGAAGTAGCAGAAAACACTTCTTAAGAAAACACTTACATCTCCTACAAAGAGTATTTCGCAATCAAAACAACTCACCACTTCCTAAGTAACATTCACAACAACTCAGTGAAACCTGTTAATCCTCCCACAACAATGAAAACAGTCGGGAAATTATGATGAGTAGACTAATTTTGTCTGATCAATTATTGATACACGTCTACGAAATCACCGTCTACGAACCAGTCTGAGTTACGAATCCACCGCGTCTACGAACTGGTTCAGTCTACGAAATCACCGTATCCCATATTATGGTATGCCTAGTTGGATACAGTTGAACCTGTAAATCAATTGTTAATGCAAACTCTCAAAATGATTGCGAAATGGATGTCATTGAGTATCAGTTCAGTAAACATGATCTAATGGTAAGGTAGCTTATTCTCATAAATTCTTACTGTAGTGCCATCAGCGATTCAGAAGTTTTGTCAATGCAGATAATTTTACATGGAATAGAATGTTCAGATTAACAGGATTTAACCACAACATGCTATGCGATCATTTTCAGTATCATGAATATGTTTCATCTATTTTTTTTAATGAACATGATGTATGTTTTAAATAGGATGAAAATGTCAAGATGTGTCTTCCTGAGTCCTATACACAAGCACAATATGATTTCAAGGATACACAGTGAGTACAATACCTCAGTAACTGTTCACAGTTAGTTTTTTAATTAGTTTACCTGATTGGCTGATCATCTCTAAGAAAGATTGATAAGCTTAAATAATGAAACTTACTGTGAAACATGTTTGTGTGTAGTTTACTGCTACACCACTAGCCTTTGTAGTTGTACATTGTACTAGCCACTTGCTGTCAGAATAGAACGTAGACAGAGCCAATGGTACCTCAAGGTCTAGTAGAATGTCAGGGATTTTAGTGGGTGGCTGTTTGTAGGTTAAGTTGCCTCCCTAGCTAGCATTAACATCAGGCTGCTTCCCAATGTTTGGCAACTTCTTTACCATCCCGGTAACATTTCTGCCACTTGTGTACAAAAAAATCTGTGTCAAAACGTATGAGATTTTCCGTCTAACCCCAAATGCAGTGAAATTTATGATATTGTGAATGTCCTTGTTAACGCCATTAGAGTGAATTGGGAAAGAGATTTACAACTAATATACCCAAGATGAATTTACATTTGGTTGTTAAGTCAGATTCGATCAAGAATGTAAACTAACTGAATATCACCCTACTTTCCCCTTTCGTTATAACTATACAGAGCACACTACTGTTGAAATGAAATAAAGATTTGAATTAGCTGGGGGTTGAGTACAGCCATCTAGGCAGATATAAGTTGTTTGTGAAAATAGCAATCAGGCAGTTGGAGTTCCATGCATATGATCCATGGTAATGTTGGTCGTGGCCACCTACTCACCTAGCACTGTGAGGAGTTGTGACTGGTGGCAGTGACAGTATGGAGAGTTCCAGGAATGCCTGTCACTGTGAGGAGTTTGCATGAATTGCTGGATAAACCCCTGAATTATTACAGACTTCATGTGTTTGTTAAATGTTGTACATGTATCTGATGCAACAGAATATTACAATTTTCCACTGATTGTTATTTTTCATTCATGAAATAAATTTCAGGTTTCTTATAAATTCATGTTGACTTGATGCATGATGTATGCACAATACTGTTCACTGTTGACCCCTTGGTGTCTTTTCCACCTAATCTTGTTCATGTTTACTGTTTAACAGGTTGATCATTGGCTTGTCGGTCACTCTTGGGTTGTTCGCAGTCGAACTGATTGGTTTTATCGGAGGAATCACAATGTTCATGCCATTCCAGAGTTTACTGTGTATCCTTTGTTTCGGTATTGTCACATTTTCACCTACAAAAGCCATGCTGACTTCAGATAGCAGTTTGATAGCAGTTGAATGGTTTGTATTATAAATGCTAGCTAGCACAATGGCCTCGGCTAAGAGTGCATCTATTTACCCAGTGAGCATATTATGATCGTGTTTGCACAAGAAGACAAAATTAGTAATTTAACCAAATTAAGGGTAGAGAATCTCACTTAAGTGCCTTTTAAAATCAAATATATTAACACACATCTACAATATTTTATAACTATGAGACTTGTCGAGAAATTGTGACCTATCATGGATGAGTGTTGATATATTTGGTAACAAAAGGCGGGAGGGTTAATATAATATCTGTCATCCAACTCATCCTTCCTATTGTCCCAGTTTGTAAACATTGATCATGGTGATAAGCATCATCTTGGGTGCAACATGTACAGTCAGCCTGCTTCTGTGGCAGAGATAAGCAATGTAATTTGATTGTCCATGGTAACCGATGACATCACAATTGTCTGCAAAGCATGGTGATGCAATTGTCCTTGGAGACATGTGTATTGTTTGATCTTACCAGAGTGATATCTCACTTGGAAGCAAGTTTTGGATGATGAATTCTGATATCCATGTTTGACTTCCTTAAGTGGCATGTAGAAGCTGGTATGACGAAGAGGAACGCTTTTTATGGATAGACAGCTTCTTTACTGCAGTGGATGCAATGTTCCATATAAGTGTTCCTCCTAATCCTTGTTTGTTTCATCATACACAATGATATAGGTTGTTTCTATTGTTGTGTCACAATGAAGTTATTATGCCTTGACGATTGTGCCCAGCAACGTGTGCTCACGGCGGAGCTGCTGTGGCGTTGTCCTACTTCCTTTTCGACGCCTGGCCATGTGACTGGTATTGGTACATCTTTGGATTCTGCAGCGCATTCCCAGGATTGACAGAAATCATTACCATCATTGGTGTGTTAGCATTTAAAAAAGGATACTGAGCCCTAGCATAGATACTATCATGTGAAATCCTATAAGGGTGTTAGATTGTTACGATTATATATTGACAGAGCAGGATAATTTTTGTCTGTGATAAGGCAATACTCCTGTTTTTGATCATCTTTTCAAGAGTAAGTGTAATCATTGTCAGTTGTTTATGGGGTTTATACACAACTTATACAAACCAGTATTGACAACAGTGTATACCACACAGACTATTGGTTCGTATCATGTGATAGGCCAGGTATTATACTCTGTTTACAGAAATCTGTTTTAGATAAGGTTTTGAATTCTTGTACATTAGCTTTAGCTTCAACTATATGATATATTTGATTAGGAATTTCTTATTGTACACTTTGATATTCATGTACATGTATATGTCGTTAAACTTGGAAGAAGATAAATCTAAATTACGAGTACATTATATATTTCTCCACCAGACACATATCACATTAAAGGTGATTTTTGCCATAATAGTTTGATTGCATACATACTGTTTTAGCACTGCATAATGTCATATTTGACTTAGGTATGAATCGAGAGATTTGAAACAAGTTGTGATATTGGACAATTTTGTGCCTTTAAATAATTTAGACTCTTATTTTTTGTCTTATATTGCAAAGTTTGTAAGTTAAAAGTTATTAAACTGCCTTGTGTACTTATAACAAGTGTACTTACATGTCCGTCCTTATAATGTTGATCATTATTCAATGTGCTACATTTTGGTGTCACAACCTATTCTGATGTTTGTATGCTATGAAAGTAAAATAAAATATTTTTTATGAATTTTAGATATTTTTGGGGTATTACTTTTTACTGGTTGTAACTGTCAAATCCAAGATGATGTGAAGTGGCATTAAATGTTGCAGTCAAGATTATTGTATGTGTCTAGTGACAGGCATGTGTGCAAGCAGCATGCCTGCGTGTACTACCCGAGTATTAAGATGGTTATATATAATTAGCCTTCTGACATACCATCCCACAATAACCTGAAGAACCGGGTTAGAATTGATCTTAAGTAACCCATGCTTGTGGTAAGAGGCAAGTATTGTACGGAATTGGACGGTCAGGCTTGCTGACTTGGTTGACACACATCATTGTATCCCAATTGAGTAGATCAATGCTCTGGATTGTCTGGTCCAGATCTGATTATTTCCAGACTGCCGCCAGATAGCTGAAATATTGCTGAGTGCGATGTTAAACTGAACTCACTCACTATTGCCATCCCACAATCAGACGTGATGCTACTGACACACAGTATACAGACTCCAAGCAGTCCTTGACTTTATATTGTTGAGTAGTCTAGTGGTTAAAGTGTTAAACTGAACTCACGGTTCGAATCCCCACATGGGTACAATGAGTGAAGCCCATTTCTGGTATCCCCCGCCGTGATATTGCTGGAATATTGCTAAAAGCGGCCTAAAACCAAACTCAGTCAGCTGTTTCATTCACTTTATACCAAGCTCCATACAGGTTCTGTGAAGTAATGCTTTCCCATTTATACTGTGTGGCCACTATAGGAGAAGGAAATTCTATTCAAAGCATATCAAAATATAACAGTTACTAGGCATATTCATTTATATGCTGTCCTCTGTTATAAACACTGAGAAAATATTAATCATGTAAAGGTTCCTTCTTAGTAAAGGGTGCTTTTGCAAATAACATACATTTTGGTTTTTGAGTTGGGCTTGCAGTGGATAATAATCTTTAATTTTACTTTAAACAGTTTTTTAACATTTAGCATCTAGAACAACTAGTACTCTGCACTTCCGGAATAAAATCATGGATGAACGGCCAAACACTAGAGCTCAATGATGAAAAAAACAGGTTCTACTTGTTGGCAGAAAGCATCACCTAACTGATCTCAGAAATGAAGTTATAATTGGTTCAGCACAAGTGTCTACATCGAGACTTGTGAAAGACCTCGGAGTTCGGATTGACGCAGACCTTTCAATGTAGGAGCAAGTCAACAGGATATGCAAATCATGTTACTTTCATCTTAAATCCATAGGAAACATCAGGAAGTACATCACAGCGGAATGTGCCCACATCCTAGTCAGATGTCTTGTGCTATCCAGACTAGACTACTGCAATGGACTGTTGATTGGCCTCAGCAAACACAATATCTCAAGACTACAGAAAGTACAGAATACAGCTGCAAGAATTATTTCTTTTAAGACTAAATCTGATCACATCTCTCCTGTTCTCAAATCCTTACATTGGCTGCCTATTCAACAGAGAATCAACTTCAAACTTCTCTGCATCACTTTCAGCTGTCTCCACAATCAAGCTCCAGACTATCTCACTAAACTCATCACAGAATACATTCCATCAAGATCACTCCGGTCCCAGAATCAGCACCTACTACAAGTTCCCAAATTCCACCTAGTTTCGTACGGGAAAAGGGCTTTCTCCTATGTTGCACCAACTCTTTGAACTCTTTACCTTTAGAAATCAAATTATGTGAATCTCTCTCAACCTTCAAGTCAAAAGTTAAAACTCACCTGTTTCAAAGTGCCTATGGCTGACTCTTTTACTCAATTCTTTTCAGCGCATTGAGCATTCATAACTGTGTGGACATTTGCGCTTTATAAGTGACATTATTATTTTTATTATTATTAGTGAAAACCTGCCAACATGTAATGTGACAAGGCATCACAACCCTTGTTAAAATATCACAGCATAGAGACATTTTAGACTGACTCCAAAACTCATCCAACAAATCAACCAAGGGCACACACCTCTGTTCTGGGATGTATAACAGCACAAAGTTGACATGAAATTCACCGTTTTATTCAACAGAATCATCTACAGAAACAAAAGATGTAAAAATATATACTCATTTCTTTCTGTATGAAATAAAGTTGATGAACAATGAGTGATACCATCTCCACTTAAGTTGGTTTACAATCATTTTCACATTCATTTGGTGCAGAAACCATTGGTATTGAAAATGCCTCAAATCTCTATTCGGCCTTATACATTTTTGAGTGAGTTTTTACGCCGCTTTTAACAATATTTGATAAATTTTGTGTCACCAGCATGTGTCATAAGCATATTATCAATATTTGGTTTGGTGCCATATGAATGGATATTAATCACCGGTCAAGATTTATCTGAGACTGGACCTGGTTACTTTCATGCTTGTAGTCTCTTTATTTGTAGTTAGAGTAAAAAATGCCCTGTTTGATTGAAAGACAAAGATATGTTTGTATATTTTTAATACCTTCTATTTCAAGGGGTAGTTGTAGCCTTGATTCAGCTGGGAGTGAGCTGGGACTAACGCCGCTTTGAACAGTATTCCAGTTATATCACGGCCGACAGTTTAATGTAGGTGGAGAGTACGAAGTGATACAGTCTTAGCTGTTCATCACTATACTGAAACAGACAAGCATGGCTATGGAGCTGACAAACCTAGAAACAGAACCTGGGAGAACTGATTTGTACCCAAGTGTATAGGTTTCTAGAGTGCTAAAGGGACACAACTCTGTAATGCCAACTGCAGTGTCTTAGAAGATGGGCCAGTGTTCTCTTCAATGCAACTGTGGAAACATTTAGTTACTATGTTCTGCATCATGTCAGGTTAACCATGAAATTATCACTATGAAGATGTCGGTCTGAACAAATACAAACTGACCTGCATGCACTTTGTAAGTACTATTTCTAAATCACATTTGAAAATTTGATTATTTCAGGCTATAAATCACTAAGTTTTCAAGAAAAGTAAAGATGACTTCAGACACAAGCCTGTCTTTTATAGTCAAACCAATTGGTCTTGTGTGTTAAGGCTCCTGGGAGAATTGTCACACAGGTAATGTGGAGGTTACCGTAACAGAGCACCTGTGCAGGATGTCCCACAGGTCGTTCACATGTAACCACCAAATTTTTTTCATATTGATTCAAAGCATATAATCCACACAAAGATTTACAATTAAAAACATATATCAATGCTTGAAAAACTAAGGGAATATTATAGTCACCAAAAATGTTTATACACCAACAAGGCTATTGCTTTCATCATGGACATATGACTGCCAGTGTCAATAAATGTTATTTTACAAAAACAACCATTCACGTTGGCTGGTGATGGGTCCATAGTCCATCCATCCATAACACTACTTCATAACTGTAAAAATAATGCCACCACTATTATACTGGGACTAGGAATACATGGTAACTGAAATGAAAATGTCTTGAAATTCTGCATGGCTGGAATTCCACTCAATTTCATTCCCGTGTTTTAGTTGACATTAACATTTGTGCTGAACATGACCCATTTCCATCACTTCAAGGGTTTGTATCACCTTCATTCCTCCATCACCATAAATACATTCAGCCTCCTGACAATGGAGTTACTATTTGTAACCAATCAAACATTGATCTGTCTCCGAGAAAACGGTGGTCCCTCTGACAAAATATGCACTACTTTTTCATGCGATATATGCTGCAATTTTGCTGCCATCTACTTGACACATTGCTGCAACATAAATGAGTTTTACATCACTTTTAACAAAATTCCAGCAATATCTTTGCAGGGAACAGCATAAATAGGATTCACACATTGGGGAATTGAACCCATGTCTTCAGTAAGATGAGAGAACACTTTGACCACTCAGCTACGCCACTGCTCCTCAACATATGCGAGGCTGCTTTTAACAGTTACATAGGTTTTGTTACCTTAAGATGGGGGGTAAGCTGTAAGTGTGGGTCTCAGATGTTAACCACTTTGGTGAAACATCTAGACAAGGGTGTGGTGCAGGCAAACCTTGACACACAATCTGGGTGAAAGAGGATTCAAACCAACATTCACAGAATCAGCTCGGCACTTTTCACAATAATCATGCACAGAGTGGGCCTCATTTGACTTCCATGACTTGCACAGCCTATTTCTATGCTTGAGTCACAAATACATACTGTAAAGGCCATATTTGTTCATGGGTGGTAGAGGAACTGTATACAAACCCCTGATGTACTTGAAACGAACACAAACACATATCAAAACACTTCTCTTGAAATTATCTAACTCATGAAGGATTACATACTGGTGGTAATAAACAATCCAAAGAGGTATCTATAGTGCAAAGTTTCTGTTGTGTTAATAACAAAACACTCCAGTCCAGAATTGTAAGTATGGTTTAACATGATAGGAATGTTCGACTTAATGACTTGCAAACAATTTCATGGCAAATGCAATAACAGTTGAATCTTTAGATATTATTGTCTGATATGCATGATCTGTCAATTTCGCAAATGAAAACACATTATCACAAGAGCCCCTTTGTCCTACTAGAAACAGCAAATGTAAACGCTACAGAAAACCCTCTCATCCTACCGGGTACCCATTCACTGCTGAGTAATCAAAAGCATATTTTGGACAGAAGCATTCTGTGTAGACTGTTTCTGTATGGGGCATGTCCAAAGTTCTTGAAACTCTCAGAAGTGAAGCCTGACAAATACAGACACTTATCCTGATTCTGTGTGACTGACTTCACTTCATCTCTAACCTATTTGCAGAACACATGACCACAACCTATTGAAAGTGAACAAGGAAACAGATTTTTCAGAGCAACAATGTAGAACATCTAACAAGGTAGACCATGTTTAAACATAACAAAAGAATTTCAAAAACCCAAGTCCCAAACATATTCTCCTTACAGTAAACAAGTTATTAATCCTCCCCCATTTCTTAAATCCTACAGATTAAGAATAACCCTTGTCGTGCAGGGTCCTTTATCCTGCTGAAACATCATATAGTCCTAGCATGGGTATGTGGAGTTAAACTTTATATCAT